CTCGAATCTCTGGCGTAGAATAAATTCAAAACAAGTTTTTTTCTTAATCACCAGAAATGCAATACTCTTCTCGACGCACGTTTCACCAACCAAGTTGAGGTCTTCAGGAGATGAAGTTTTTCTTCATCTCCTGAAGAAAAAAAGAGTTCATATTTTCGATTGATGTTCATGATATTATATTTCTTTTTTTTGTATTAGCATCGATCTCACTTGAACGTTTTTCCTGCTATTTATTTAAGGATCGTTTGGAAAAAAATTGTTTGGCTTTCCAGTACTGATTAACACAATGAATGATGATGATAAAAGAATGATAATGACGAGTTCACTGGTCATATCACGACTTTTACATTTTTCTTGACAATATAAATAGATTTAAAATTTTTTATGGTTGGAAATTTACTGTTTAGTATACCGTCAACCACAGACGTCACTTGAGGAATGCCTCAAGTGTCTCTCCTGAGGCCACCGTTATTTTCTAACTCCCTAAATAATTTTCCTCGGTTGTTTTCACAATGGCATATAACCATGTTTGCTGATGACACCGGAATCGCTGTGTCTGGAAAAACCAAAGCACTAGCAGATAAATTCAGTGTTCGGTGTCAACTCAGCAAACTTATTTTGAATAAATCGAAATGTTTTTTATCTATGAAATTATTTATTAGGGGAGATTTCAGCAGTGATTCATGCACATTAAATGTTATTTGATCAGCTAGCGAAATTATGTTTTTAGGAATATTTTTCAGATGAAAATCTAACCCGTAGCGGTCCTATTCGTATTCACACTTAATTCTGCAAATTATTATTAAATCATACAATTGAAATCACCTAGATGATTTTGGCCTGTTGGATGTCTATTTTTCAGTGGTTTATTCTCATATTAGCTTTGATATATAGAGATTTTCGTGCACAGAAAAGACTAATTAAACTGATTATTGATATGGCTTTTCAATATAATTGATACCAACCCAAGAAAGGGCATTTTGCCTGCATTTTCTATCGTATTCAAAAAACACACTTTAATGTGCGACAAGTGTTTGAGTATTATGACGCTTGAGGATGCTATTGTATAGCGCGGTTGCGTGTTGCGGTGTTGTAAACTTTCAAGTGGATAGCTCACATTGAAGTATGTTTTTTGAATACGTTATACTGGATTTCCATGAATTATAGGTCAGTTCTATCATATTTTGCATGTTCTAGATTCATCTTGAAATGTATCACTTTTTCTCATAGAAATATCAATATAGGTATTTTTCACAAATTCATAAATGAATATGACAACCTAATCAAAATTTCTCCACATTGAACGGCTTATTTTGGATGCTTTCCATTAGTCAATGCAAAATAAATCGTTATGAATAATTAAAAATTGAGATGAAGAAATTATTTTTACAGATGTGTTGGCCGAAGGAATTTTTGTTTGACTCTTTCTCTTTAGAAGGACATATTTGGTAGTAGAACTTCTTCTCGAATTGTGACTTGTGGCGCATTTATATTATTGACATAAATTTCTGTTTTGTGAATATTCAATTCTTGTGAATTATATACATTGCTTTTTTTTAATGTTCTTTTTTCTGTCTGTAATTCATTATGACTCAGCTCAAGTACTCAGTGTACCAAAGGGTCAAATGAATAAATTTGAAAAATATAATTCATTTCGCGAAAAGTTGAAATAGAGTTGAACTGATGTCAAAATCATTATGAAAAAATATCGTTATAAGTAAGTCTACCCGTTAAAAAGTGACTATTCTAAGTTATTTCACCGCCATTTCTGGGTTATAACCTACAAATAATGAATGCCAATTCAACACTGATAAGTACTTGATATTCACAGTACGCTCTGATTTACTAAAATATTTTCATTTATAAACTAGTGAGTTACCCCGGCTTCGCATAGTTAGCAGGTCATATATGTCTAATTTTTTTCTATCATAGTGTCGCATTAACTTGTAACTGATAATGGTGACCTTTGAAGCAAAATTATATTCACAACTTTCAACTTGGTTAACTTTTGACTAGGCTACACTCGCCAATTAAAAAAAAAGTGGTCTTATGTATTTTGCCGGGAAGGGCACGAATTCAAAAAAAAAATCGGTGCTCTCTCTCTCGTTTCTAGAGTTACAGCCATCTAAAGTTACGAAAATTACAATTTGTTGTTTTTTCACTATCAACCTGAAGAGAATTCTTTTTAAAATAGTTTTTTATACCTTTTGATGAATCACTTGGATTTTCAGCCGAGCTGAAATTTGAGTCATCTGAAGTGACTTTCAACAACTTTAGTAGTTCATTAAAAATTCACCTACAAATACCCTGAACATACAAAGCTATATTGGACAATTTAGAATCATATCTACCCAAAAAATTCTAAAGATTATTTGCTGGAAGCAATAGTGGCAATCTTGATTAAAATGTTATGAACACCTAATGTTTATTCATAGACTAATGAAAAAAACCAAGTGATGGCAAAAAATCAACCGAAATGATGTATGCCTCTGAGAAAAAAATACATGCAAATTTTGACGTTCTGTCGCTTCTCTTGTGGTTTAACATTCTTCGATCTTTTCGGGTTAGAATAAACTACAAAAATAAACAAAGAATAGCCAACGTTACTACAGCTTTGATACATTACTTTCAGCTATATTTTTCGTGTTAAAGTCTATTTCAAATAAACATAGATAAATTTGTCACTCGATTTATTTTTACGACTACATGATTTTAACATAATGCAACGAAACAGTTCGTTGCTCGCAATTAGATTTTCTTAATGAATTATTCTCAATGCCAGATTGCCAGAGGAAAAACAACTAACAGCCGTTGTTATATCTTTATCATGAAAGAGCAAACCCGAACGCAAGAGAAAATCATAATATAATTTTTATGAGTTAAGAGACCAATATGTTAATTGATTGGTATTGAAAAAATTTGTTTATTTAGTTTGCAATACTTTATATTACCAATAAAAACCTTTTAATTATATTAGGAGAGATTAGATATCGAAACAAATTAAGCCAAATTTATTGTCGCTCCTCTATTATTCGAACACAGTAATCTACAGAGGGGGAGTAATTTGACGCACTATTTATATAATATAACATACCTATCGCCTTGAAGGAAGAGAGATAGAAACAAACTGATATAAAGAAATCTAATAAGCCCAGATGACGATTTCAATTAGATATATGAACATTGAAAAAACCGATATAGATATTAATAATAGGTATTAATTATTAAATATACACAAGGAAAAATTTGGCAATCACGACCGGAGATTAATTAGTGTTCCACTATATCTAAGTCCAACAAAAGAGCTTCCGTCGAATGCATAGTTACAAAGGAAAGAATCTGTAGATATTTGAAATAACACCAAAACAGATTCTAGAATGAACCATGTGGTATATCGAATCAACTATAACAACTGTATTGGAAAAACAAGTCAAGAACTAAATGAAGAACAAACGCTACAATGGAAATATTTCCAAATGAGAGGATAAATTCATGGGAAAGAGGACTGATTCGTCCATCTCTTCTGAATTGCCGGAAAACACTTCTTTAAACCTTCCCCTAAACAAATTTGAAGGTTTGTTGGATGTGTGTCATATTCTTCTGGACTTAAATCTGGTTGTCCATACATTGTCTTCCCCTTCTAATCGTGAGTCTTACATTCCCCTAAAACAGGGTGTTTCTGTCCCTTTGTTTTCCAAAAAGTTCAGCCAACTTTGCTTATGAAGCTGAAAATTTTGGTATTCTGGGCATGGAAAAGCTCAATATGTGACGTTGAATAACTACAACAGGAGTTCCACAGGACCGTTTCTCTAAATATTGCCTGAAAGACTACGTCCCATAGTGTTCTCGTAAGAGAAATTGTTACGACAATTTTTTACTTTGTACAGTTGAACTAATGATTCACCTTCTAGTTATTTCCGTCAGTTTACAAAAGTTGATATATTTATATCTGTATGAATAAGTTAATGCAGTATTCTTTCGCATGAATTGACAAATTTAGTGACATCAAAAGCATGAAAATAGAAAGGGAATTCATGTAAATATTATCAACTCAATTGTTTATCGTTCTGTATCACACGCTCGAAAACGAACAAGAGTAATTCAACATGGTCAGAGACTTCAATTGCGTACCTTTTATAAAAATGTCGTTTCGAAACAAACATAGTGAATAAAAAAGAATAAAAAAAAACGTATATTTTCATGACATCCACTTTCAACCTGTATTTATAATAATTGGAGGAATATGTTACGATAAGAAAGCGATAATGAAAAGAATGTAGGAAACATGGAATGTACCTACTCGTTTATGCACAAGAATTTTATCAAGAATACTACATCATAGAAAACGATGTTGGTTCAACTTCATTCACCCCCTCAGACACATGGATGCATATTTTTCAAGCAAGTTCTGCTTTAAACTTGTTTTATACTGAAAACGAAGACGAGAAGAAGGATGTAACGTGTTAGGAATCACACATTAAAAGTTAAGACCTTGTTAGTCCTTAACTAGCACAAGTTTCGACTTCTGAAGGTTGTCGTTCGTAGGGGCGCGACAGCTGGTTAACGGAAAAACAGATTTTTAACAGAGATAAAATTTCTGAGAATGTAAATTGCGAATTATTCTATTTTTTAGGTTAAAATGTGAAGTTGAATTTTTAACTTCCCATTTTTCAAAATTGTTTATATTGAAGGGAATTACTTTTGTTTGTCTTTTGAAGTTTTTCAAATTTATTTCCCAAAAACTGATATTTCCTAGAAAATATTCATCTTCCTTATACACAACATATCGCATGTGAAAAACAACATCTTCAATAGTGGGAAAAATCTAAAGTCTCTGAATATAATTCAGAGAAAATACTGGCGTTCTATTCGGAGAGTTATGGAGAGTTTTTCATTCTTAGCGCTATGCAAACTGAAGCACCTTGTATAATATTCTTACCATATGAAATAAATTTCGAAAATATATAGATATATTTAATTCATGTTATTTTCATTTTCAGCACCATTTGCACTGATATCTAACCGGACATGTAGTAGAATTTTCTTAATGAGTGAAGAACGGTACATTTTCAATTTACTGAAAAATGGAGTCTTCAGGTTCTACCAGAATATCACAGAATCTTTTGTAGAGGAAGGACTTGATGCACCGGTGAGTACAACATAATCCACTGACAGGAAACACCCCATGATGAAGAACAAAATTTAGAAACTTGAAAAAGTAAGGTATCTAGTTCGATTCTGAATAACAACTATTATCTTTACTGAAACATTGTTCTAAAGTTACTATAAGACCATAACAGATGATTTTTTTTGATGAACGCACATTAATTCTTGATGTATTTCATCAGTTCGGACTTCCATTGTCTAATATAAAATAAATTGTTTTGATAACCCTGAAAAAAAATCAAAAAGATTAACCGAAAATAACAATTGTATCAAACAAAAAACTTAAATTACAAAGAAATAACATACAACAACAACCAAATATTAATAAAAGCTGAAAAAAACTGAAAAAATTCGGCTGTTATCACCCGAAGACGATTGTGGATACTAACAATCGAAACGTTGTGACATAACATGGTTTGAAATCCTTTAATTTTTATTTTTCCATTTTTTGTTAATATAATTTTTTATTTTTTCAGTTTTTTTCAGCTTTAAATAATATTTCAATTTTTATTTGTTTGGTTGTTGCTGTATGTTATTTCTTTGTAGGTAATTTCAGTTTTTTGTTTAATAAAATTGTTTTTTGTTTAATAAAATTGTTATTTTCGGTTAATCATTTTGATTTTTTTTCAGGGTTATTAAATCAATTTATATTATATTAGACAATGGAAGTCCGAACTGATGAAATACACCATGAAACATTGTCAACCACCTTCAAACAAACGATAAATTCTTGAGTTTTAACAGCATGTCTTATGACATGGCTTACTAAATCTCCTGATTGCAGTCCTTCAGATTTTCATTCACCTAAATGAAAAATGCAAAGCATGGATGTTCAATAAAATTTGTAATGTTTAACATGTAGATAGACCCTAGACTTAATTTCAAGTCAGTTCTGTGTGATCCTTTCACACATAACTCATCCCAGAATTTTGTTCTAACTCGCTTATTTTGTCATTACTTCTACTGTATTAATTTGTTCGTATAATCAATTAGAATACGCAACTGCATTTGTTCCTTCAAAAATATATTTTATGGCTTCTTCTTCCCATATTTTTTATATATCTCTTCCAGAATTCCTATTGCATTGAACATTCCAACAGCCCCAAAGGGATGGGGTTTTTCTTCTTCAAATGCTTTCCTGATTTAAAGATCGAGGAAAAATTCGTATACACGAAGTGGTCCAAAATACTGTCGTGCGTTTTTCTGGTGCTGACCATTCTGATCTACCTGTTGCTGGGTGAAACGAGAAACCTCTTCGGGAAGATCCTGATCAACTATTGTGTTGGCACGCTCTTATTGTTTTTGCTTCTGATCTACGTCCACACCGATTTGGAACCGAATGATTCTTTCTGCATATTGCTGGGTGAGACAATTTTGATCAATATTAATTTATAGTACGGGATTTTGCATGAATGGCGTGCACCTGGAACAGGAATACAACACCAGACTTCTTGACGTTTCAGAAAGACTGGTTGTAGAAAAAATGTGTCATAAAATATGAACAGTGACAAGCAATCCTGTATTATTTTTATATGAATTGCAAAGGGAAAATGTAATGTAAAAAGAATATCTGGTAAATGAAATGAAAATTCAGCGAGATGACATTGAAGTATCAGATGAAGACATGACTGATAATTTCAATATTGAAGTTTTCTGAATTCATACGGCCAGACAATGTTGACTTCATTAATTTTTTGAGAAACGCACATAAATTCTTGAGTTTTAATAGCATGTATTATGATATGGCTTACTAAATCTCCTGATTGCAGTCCTCCAGATTTTCATTGACCTAAAATATAAGTAAACTTTTGATACTTTTCATGAAAAAACCTAATTCCCACACTTTTTCCAAATAAAAAAAGTACACCTCCTCAACAATGCTGAAGGTGATCGTTTTCGAGATATTTACAATTTCCTTTATCGATGCATATTATTTAGCTCCTAGGCGCTAAGTGAAGTTGCTGAGAACATTAAAAAAACTAATTATGTGGTGGATCTCGTCAAAATAAACAACTTTTTCCTAAAAAAAGTTTAACGAAGAATGATTCGTTTTCGAAATACAGATTGTTGACATTTTTCAAAACATGGTAGGTTTTTGTCATAAGTTTTTTACAATTTTAGTTATTTCCATCAAACTTTATACGCAGTATACCCGTACAGACTTCTTCTAAACCGAGCATTATCGAACTGCCTATTCAATCCAAATTGAAAAAAATTGTCAGGTTTAATTATTCAATTAAAAAGTGCTACATTTCGTAGTTTGTAAATAAAAACAATTCGGAGAAGTACTATGTTATTTATTAGGAAAATAAACATATAAAAATTGAACGAAACAATTATTACAACAACTGTTCAAAGTGACGACCTCCAACAGTAATACAAGCTTCTGCTCTCATCATCAAAGAATTTCGCACCCGTTTAAAAATGCCCGGAGTGTTTCTTAACGTTTCGCAGCAAGCTATGATGCGATCCCTCAACATTTCCTCGTTTTCAATGGGACTAGCATAAACTAGTGATTTTAGGTGTCAACAAAAGAAAAAATCGACTAGATTGAGGTCTGGTGACCTCGGGGGCCAATGCTCAGTGCCTCCTCTTTCTATTCATCGTTGTCTTGCTATCACACTAAAACGAGCAGGAGCTCCATCGTCCATAAACCAAGAGTGATTTCGGAGACCAATGGGAACATCTTCCATAAGTCGTGTTCCAAAAATGTAGGTGAGCATCTCCATTCAAACGTAAGGGGAGAAAATAGGGCCCAATTAAATAATCCCCAATTATGCCTACCCATACATTAAAAGAGAATCTGTCTTGGAAATGAGTTTGCGTTATCGCATGTGGGTTATCTTCCGCCCAGATGTGGTTGTTATGGAAGTTCTGATACCATTTCTTGAAAAATTAGCCTCATCTGTGAAGAGTATTTTCGATAAAATTTGCGGATGTTGTTCGACTTTTCTTTGAAACCATTGAACAAATTCGATACGTGGTTGGAAATCACGTAGCGTAAGTACCTGGGCACTCTGAATATGATAAGGATATAATTGCTGTTCCTTTAAAATTCTGTAAACTGTCATGTGACTCACATTTAAAGTTTGACTAATTTTTCTTGTACTTGCCTCTGGATGTTTATGGCCGTCCTACTGCAGAATTTGTTTCAAAGCTTCCAGATTCGGAAAGTCGCCGGAAAAGATTCGCAAATGTCGCTGCACAAGGAGTCACGCGTTGGGGATAGCTTTCCTGATAGATGCGTCTGGCCTCGCTTGAACTTCCGTCAGCCAAGCCGTATGCAAAAATCATATCAGCCATTTCAGCATTCGTAAAGTCGGGCATGGTCCCAATAAATCACTTTATAAACTCCGAACTGTGAATTTGTCAATTAATAGTTAAAAATGTGACAGCAAACTTCTATTTTTATAAACAAACTTTCATAGCTTACTCGATTTAACTAACTCAACTTGCAAGCGGAGAGTGACAAAAATTATTGAAATCAAATTTGGCTATAAAGTAATATGCATCGATATAGAAAATATCTCGAAAACGATCACATCCAGCGTTGTTGAGGAGGTGTACCGTTTTACTTGGAAAAGGTGGGGAAATTAGGTTTTTTCATGAAAAGTACCAAAAGTTTACTGTCAAAAAAGTTAGGGCAAATTGAAATAAATAATGACAGCGTACGCAGCGCCCTCTAGATGTTACATGAAAATTATTACGAAATTATCATTTCCCACGTCAAAAAAATCTCGGGTACCGAATTTCGTGCAAATAACTTATTTTTTGCAAGAGTTATTTTCAAAAAGCGAACAAAAAAAATCAATTTCAACACCCCGTATCTCCGAAACGAAGCATTTTCGGACCCAAGTTCATATATACTTTTTTTCTAAAAATTGTCTCTGGAATACGTCACTTGAATATTTTAACGTATTTATGTTACACCCTGTATGGTAAAAGTCAACCAGTCAGTGTTGTGAATATTCTAGTTAGTGTCCGTTAATCATGGTGTACCACAATACTGGGATCTAAATCATTTTTGATATACGCTAATGACCTGATGAAAAATGTAAACTAGGTATTTATACAGTATATAGAAGTCATCAATTTTATAGTAGGAGAACTGGATATGATGATGCCAAACGAAAGAATCTAAGAAAGAATCTGTGTATGCGTATATAGACACAAGCTTAATATACTTTCCCAGCAACATCATTAACCTTGTCTTCGTCCTTGAGATAAACTGTTGTCCAACTTCATAGAATAACTATTTGCCAAAAAAACTTCATTTTGGACCTACAATATTTCATAATATAGAAGATAAATTAAACTATCAAAAAATTTGAAAGTTTTCTAATCAAGATTGAAAAAGGCTTTTATTGAAAAAAACTGCTACACAATTGCTGGATATTAAAAATTATTGTTTAAATAATTTTCTTTATGACAATTCTCATAACTATGTGATGAAATTAACTCTCTCTTTCATTTATTTTTTTACATATCTTAAGTTTCGTGTATGTTTGTATACATATTTCACATTTAGGTATTTAAATTGCAGATGATGTTATTCAACAATAATTTTATTTCATAACTGTTTCTAATCTTGGACTTTTTTGTAATTCTAACTTTGTACCCTGTAATAATAAATAAGTGTTATCATTATTGTTATTATTACTAAGTACTCGTTTTCCGGCATCATGTCAGATCCTTCATCAAAGAACATTGGGAGACGTCAATATTTTCTTGTCGGTTATTCATCGAAATAATTTCCTAAAAATTTATGTCATGCTGTTTGCATTTTATATTGTTATTTTAGTGTTTCACTTACTTTCCGCATTGCTGAAACGATTAATTAATTAATCTACCACTCAATCTAATTCGTTCATTTGAAACCCAAAATATTTTCAATTTTCAGGATATAGTTTGATATTCTTTTCCACCGCCCTGTTTGCTTGGCTGAACGTGATGTGCTGTGACATATGGCTCACATTCGGGTGAGTCGAATTAACTTTTGTTATTTCAATGAATGAATTATGTCATACATATTATACAAGCTCTTCGCCAAGGTTGATTCGTTAGAAACTATTTTAATATCTCGATAATCGGAGATGTGTCAAAAAATTAATTGGAGGCTGATTTGAAATGTTGCTTTTGTATTCCCTTTTATCCAGCCGTAGCCAATTTATTTTCAATGCTCTCAACCGGTGTTTGATTTCATCCCATTCATTGTGTTTTGATGTATTTGAAAATAAATATATGCAAATTTTTGTCGTGCATTATGAAACATATACGATGACAGTATTCGACAGGTGAATTTGTTTTCGGTTTTTGATTTTAAATAAGATCTGGTGTATTTATTAGTTACACCGATACAACAACGTATTTTATAAATTGTAGGGATCGTATCAATCTTACGATTGTGAGATTTATGCATGTCTAGCTGACCCGACGAATTTTTTAACGCCTCAGAATTATTAAATACTAGCTTTTACTCGCGGGTTCGCTCGCATTTATGCCATTGAATAAGTGTCAGTACAATAGAAATGAATCAATATGAGAACCATATTTTAATGCTTGGCTGGGATTATAAATTTTTAAAAATTATTACATATGATGAAGTTTGGAAAATTTAAAATATGCTTTATTGAATTGCAACAACAAATGTTGAAATATATTTCATTGTAACAAAAATAACTCAACCTAACCTAATTAACCTAACCTAACCTAACCTAACCTAACCTAAAAATAAAAATGACAGAAGAAAATAACAATAAATATAGAAAAATTCCAAACAGCTGAAACAATTTTTTTTATCTTATATAAAAAATAGTTTTTTTTAATAAAAAGTAACCTATGTTACTTCTAATACCTCCAAGAACATGTGTACAAAATTTCATGATGATCGGTTGAGTAGTTTTCGCGTGAAACCGTAACAAACAAACTTAAATTCACATTGATAATATTAGTAGGGATTGTATGGAGTTATATTGTCTTTTTCTTGTGGTGCTCATCAAGCACAAAGTGGCCATACCACCATGGCCAGTGTTGCCAGGTTAAATTTGATGCTTAGTGGTAGATTTTGTGCCAGAGAAACCCTACATTGATACAAAAAACATTGTGAAATATATTTGATATATACAAACCATATGCATGAAAATTCCTACTAATCACACTCATTCAATAACTGTTATAAAAAGTGAATACGGTTATCAATAGATGTTTAGTCTCAAACAGTAGAAAAGTAGGTCGAGAACCAAAAAAGTGGATCTATTGCAAAAACAGTAGATCTGGCAACAATGAACACGGCTCTCCTCTCGTGTTATTTCTTCTTCATCTGCAGTGGATTGATTTACAATATTCTGCAGTCTGATTGCATTACGACATCGTTGTGAAATATTCGATGATCTCGCTCGCGGCATTGTAAATCACATCGTGCTGAATATTGCTGACTTTGATTCTAAAATGACATAACAATTATTCATTCGAGCTCAATCACAAATGTCAGGACTCCAATTGTCTCTGCTCAGACCATGATATCTATCATAACCTAACAAACCGAAAGTCTTTGATTTGTTTACATTTTTTTCCTTAATTTTTCAAATGTTTTAATAGTCATTGCCATGCCAACAACTCAACTCTTTGGAGACGAGGGACCGAGACTACTTCATCAGAAAAAATTCCAATCATTTTGGCCTAATTTTATATTCTGGTTGAGCTTACCTCAAAATCAGAAGTTGGAATTTTCGTACTAAATCTTTGTCCTGATCCCGATCAAATAGAACAAACTGTTTTTTCGAGTTTCTACTACTTCGATAGTATACGAAGATATAAAAAACCTCTAAAAGAATTGTAGATCATCCATATATATTTCAACTATATACACCAAAAATTAAGCTGCCACAATATACAAGGTGTTACTTGCTGATATTTAGGAAGGATTTTGTTTTTAAAACGGTTTTACTCAGCTTGTTGCCCTGTCTGCTTGTTTGTTTGTTTATTTATTTATTTGGGTCAAATTTAGTAATTGAAGTTTGACTCCCTTCCTGCTGACAGATTGATCTGATAATTGGTACACACATTTAGTTTTGATGGAAATACAATTTAATAAATTCTGTATCATTGTAAATCCAAAATGGCCGCAGCTACAAAATGGCGGATTACATAGTTTTTCACAACTACCCCAATATGGGTATCATACGAGAGTGATTGACGGGTAGAATAGTAGTATACTTTGAAAAAGATGCAAATTCAAGATGTCCGCAGCTACAAATTGGCGGATTACATATTTATTCACAACAACTTCAATATGGGTATCAAATGACAGGGCTTGACTAGTACCTACTATAGTAGTGCACTATGAAAAAGATGTAAATCCGATATAATCTACTAAAAAAACTTTGTCAACTCAGAATCGGGATACAGGCATGGATCTCCCACCCAAGTCGTCATGATTTTGTATCGTGTCGAGGACTGTGTGGTGTTAGGGTGGTTAAAAGGCTAAAAATGATAAGTCATTAGCGATACACCACCCAAGTTACGGTAAAAGGTTAAAACGTGCCGTGAACTGTGTGTCATTAGGGTGGATAAAAATTAGAAACTAAAAACTTGAAAATAAAATAAGCAAAAAAATATATGTTGAACGACTTTATTGAAAAATGTACGAGGAAGTGAACAATAATTCGGAAGGTCCTAGGTAGCAGTCAGCACACCACTCTCCTCAGCAATCTACATATTTACTCAGAATACCCTACGCCCAACGATTTTAATTTTTTTATCTGATCAATACTGTAGATTGCTGAGTAGAGTGATGTGATGATTGCTAGCTAGGACCTTCCGAATAATGTTTTACATTAGGTACCTGCAATGTTCAATAACACCATATCACATAATTTTTTTACTCATTTCATTTGGGACTTTTCACGAATATAAATATGTGCTGGAGTTTCAAGAAAAAACTTTTTTATGATAACTTCTGAATAATCCTAGATATTTTCCTGGTAGCTTCTACACATCTTCTATGGATTAAAAATCACTTTCCATTGTACACAAACAAACAAATTCTTGCCAGTGGAATGCGTACGAAATTTGCAGTGAATCAAATAAGAAAATGGTAGGCTTCGCCTTTTTTTTTTATAGTAACAATTATATTTGAAATCCTCATTCTATTCTGAGTGAATTTTCTTTTTCCTTTTTGCTTTGACATATGATTTTTGCAAGCACGTTTTTGTTTACAAATTAAGACCTTTAGCAGCAGGAGTATGCTTAAAGTCCTGCTGCTGAATGAACGAGAAACATGCACAATACTAACCTCTGTGAGGTATGATGCATAAATGTCTGTCGGAAATAATTTAATTCAATATTCAGCGTGGTATCAGTCAAAGGAGTAGTTGTTTTCCGATACGCGTTTACCATAGGTAGTTGGGAGAGATGAATATTTCAAGATTTCATTTCGTGTGTATCTCTCCTCGATACAGTCTTCAGACATGTTTCGATCTCTGTTAGAGTATTGATACATGGGATGTTTCTTTCCCACTTGGGATTTTGTTCACGAGATGGAGCTGTTACTAGTTAACAATTTTTCTCTTGGCGACCCACGTTGAAATTAATCGAGTCCCAGGCAATTTGCTGTTAGGGTCGCATCTTTCCTGCCCCGTTGAGAGGTAGTACCTCGAGACCTATCTATAGGTGATCTATTCGAATAATTTCAACATGGTCCTGCTTCTGAATGAACAAGAAACATTTGGGAGACTTACCTCTGTGAGATAACTTGCAAAAATTTATGTCGGATATAATTCAATATAGAGCGTGGTATTAGCCGGGGAAGTAGTCTTTCGACAGGTATTCATCAGAACCTACTGTGTAGGTAGTTGGGGGAGAAGAATATTTCGAGATTTTATTTCGAAATAATCATTTTACTAATTCTCTCTGTTTTAACGAACTCATCTGAATATTTCAGTCCGGCAATTTTTTAGTATTTCCAGTAGTCTTAACATTTCATTCATTTTATTTTCATTCGTAGACCATAGATTTGAAATCTGTGTACACCGTTTTTAAATAATGTTGGGACTTATAACATTCAAAGTATGCTTTTTTATGAATGCATGGTAATATTTGTGATGCGTTCTCATGAGCTCATTTTTTATTTTCATCGATAAAAATATTGCCAGTATTCATTGTGAAACAGGATGGGTGTGAATGATGCCAGGGTAATTACATCGTAGTCATTCCGCGGTTCAATGTAGCGGTTTTACATAGTAATTGATATTGTTTTCTTATTTACACTGTTTCATTTGGGGCCAAACCTCAAATAGCTGTAGCATGAAAAATATTCTGCGAAATATTCGATGAACAAAAAAAGTTATTTATGTATCAAGGGAATTAGGAGGGCCTTAATTAACCGATGGCAAAATTTGCGTCCCGAGGGCCTCTGGCCCGAGGGACAGCAATTGCCTTATAAAATCTATAATGTCCCAAGGGAGTTATGACCCTCTTTATTGATAGCGTAACTATGACGATATAAGCTTATAATATCCCCGTCAGAAATAAACGCAATTTATGAATAATCTGAAGTATATATTCTACATATATGAAAATGATAAAGAAGCTGGGAACCTCTAGCTCTAGTTTTCAAAATGAATAAATCATAAATTATATACACGTTTATGGTATAACTCCCAAACGCTAGTGTAACTTCATGAAAATATTTGAAAATAAAAAAACTAAAATTGATTTTTACTTGAAGGCTCTAGTGTTGAGGGTCATAGAATTTTCAAGACTCTCAATTCTTCTTCACATTTCTATTGGGGTAAATAGTTCTAGAAAGTAGAAGACTGAACTGAAGTTTTGAACTTCCACGGCCGAAAGTCAAATTCGAACTTTGGTCATGCAGTTGACGCGAACGGAAGTTGACAGGAAGGTATAAGTTAGTGAAGATAGAAAGAGAGAAAGTTACGTTTCGTATATTACTGTAGGGGCAAGAGAGAGAGAGAGAGATATATGCAAGCACACTACGGT